CTTTACGTCAATGCGGTATAACCTTGGAATTCATAAAAGTTAAAAAAATTCAAACTCGTTTTCACGGAAGAGGCAAAAATGAAGCTTCACATTATTGTCATGACTGTGATGTAAGATATTTTTATTTTTCATATTTATTATGTTTATTACTACTGGTATCCACTATGTGCATTTAATGACAAATAATACTATATCATAGTACTTAAAAAAAAAAAGAAATTGCGAATGCTATTTTGTTAGATACCATAATTATATTAAAATTTTGAGATTTTATTATTTCTGTGCTCTTATTAATTTTAAATAATTGTTTAGGTGGAAGTATTCAATATTCTTTTAATCCGAGAACAAGAGAAAAAACATTGTGTTTATTGTGTTATTTGTGCAAAGAAACAATCTCCTAATTTGGAAGGATTTGTCTGCTTAGAAGAGTATAAAATGTCTGAGCTAATAGAAATTTACAACAGTTTTGTATTACATTGTCATACTACTCCTGTATTGCCACCTAGTAATAATACTACAGCGCAATTAACGTAAGTTACTGCGATAAAAAAAAAAAAAAAAATTTTTTTTTATTATTAATATGTAATGAATACATATATGTATGTGTTTGTATATAGATATATATATATATATATATATATATATATATATATAGTGTATTTGTATGTATATTTATGTATACAAACAGTTCAAAATATTTGAATGTTTTAAGTATTTTACCTAATTTAAAAAAAATATTTTCTACAAAACTTTAATTTTGAAAAAATTAATGAACACCAATGATTCTCAACTGTGAAAAATATCAGCATTGAATTTATTTTTGAACCGTTTATTATATTTAAAAGTCTTATTAAGGTAACAAGTTTAAACATCATAGCAGCTTACATATATAATGAATAAAATGTAAATTGTCTGATTTGTGATGTATATGTAAGCAACAAATGTATACATCATATAATGGCTTATGAATCTATTCTTTATGTATACATTTTCTTTATTTGATAACTATTTTGACTTTTACACTTTTATACATAATTTAAATCTACATATATTTTTTAAATTGTAGATTCTTAAAGCTTAAACTACTTCGTGCTTAACATGAAAATTTTATAGTAAACGGTTCTTAAGTATAAAATGTATTTCATGAAGAATTTTTCCATTTAATTGTCTATTAAGGTAAATTTTAAATTTAAGTTTATGGCAGCTCATTGCACACATGTGTTCACATAAATTGTACAAAATTTAAAGGACTGTTAATGCCATTTATAGTAAATGCATAATAACTATAAGAAACAAGTAGAAAAATATTGTATATATAATGTGTAAATTTAAATTTGGTTGTAATAGCTACACACCTTTCTAGAATTTTTCAGATCTCAACATTTTTTTTTACTTAAATGTTCTATTAACATGATATTTTTATACTGAAAAATCAAATTAATGTTTTATTTTTATCTGATTATTTTTTTTCTGTGCCTTTATTCTGAAATTACTTTTTCGAAGTACAAAATTATATGTTTTTTTTTTAAATTTATAATACTATACAGTCATAAGGATATTGAATTTCGATTTATTATCTTCATCATTATTAGTTATTACTTATACAGTAGTACAAAACAATGAGCCTTATATTTTAAAGCTTGAGTTACATACATATTATGAGGTCCAAAAAACATTATATGTATACCATTGTATTTTTTTAAAAATATTTGATAAGTTACTGATTATAAGTAAATTTTATTTGATGACCATATTTTTAATAGGTTTATAAACCTATTTAAGTATTAGGTTAAAATATTTTAAATGATATTACTATGTATAATTATATTTTGTTTCTTGGTTCTTTTCTCTAAATTTAAATAATCTAAATAAAAATTCAAAACAATATATTTTAAGTAAAATGTATGGTCCATTTCCTCTTTATATTTAAATATATTTATGATTTTTTTTTTTTCAATATATTAATTATATTATTTTCATCTGGTCAATTTTTGGGTTCCTTGTTTAATTTTTTTTAGTAAAAAAATATTTTTGGACGTTAATTTAAAACTATTATTGTGTTAATTAGTATATTTTTTTTCAAATTTAGTCAAAAATGTGTTTAGTTCAATTTGATAGTAATTTAATTTTTAGCTACATTTGAGTATAACAACTTATCACTGCCATAAACTAAGGCGAGACTTCTCGTCTTCGTCACCTAGTACTGATTTTAGCTGTGCATTTTTTTTTTTTTTTTTTGTGAACAACATGTGAATGTTGTATTTTAAATGTGTTCAATAGTTTTACATATTTAAATATATTTTATTTAAATGTTATTAAAAATTTCATTGACTTCATAAAATAAGTAATAGCTTTTAACTTTTAGTTTGATTATAAATGTATTGTATTTTAAAAAACATTTATTTAGATTTAAGTTACAGTTTCAACACGTTTTTTTTAGTTATGTAATAAATCATTCTTTATTATATATTTTTTCTTTTTAAGCTTAGAAAAATATTAAAAACCTAACCTGGTGTTAAGTAGCGAATTATTGTAATATTTAAATCATATTTTCAGCTGTTAAAAGCCGACTTGTATTCATTGTATAAAATAGTTGATCTCATGATTATTTTATTTTTCAAATGATGAAATTATATCATAAAATATTGTAATAAAGCTTTAAACAATAGTATAATTTTTGTCTAAATTCAATGGTTTTTTTTTATTTACACAATAGTTAATAATTAATTTTACATAAACTTATAATTTGAACAATAAAATTATAGTTCATTTATTCGTCATATTTACCATTAATTATATTGAAAATTCTTAATTTTTATAATTTTTATTTTGCATCATTAACCATTTATTGCTTCCTAATTCAGTAAATATTTTACTTAACTCATAATATGTTTATGTTCTTTAGTCCTTATTTTATTTTAACTATAATATATATATGTGTGTACATATTTACACATGTACATACTACTTGTATGTGTGGATTAAATTTAAAAAAAAAATCAAGAATTTTAATATGTTACAATCATTTGTATTATTGATTTTTATGAATACATATTTATTATTAAAAAACTTATCTTCAAATAACTAATTATAAATTGATTTAAGTTGCTTCACAATAGTTATTGTATTGCATTCATAATAATTTAAATTAAATCAAATGTATTACATCAGTTAGTGTGCATTATAATGGTACCTATGTAAAATAATTCATATGAAATTAGTTAATTTATTTTTGTGGAGTATTTGTTTGATTTATTATTCAATTCGTATTTGTAAACTGGGGGACGGAGTAGCCGAGCAGACTAAGGCCTCGATTGTGACACACACTATTGCTGGTTCGAATCCTGACTACGGGCGGTATCGCTCTTTGAGCAGGCAACTGTCTAGGTAGCAAGGCTGCCATCCACTAACCAGGCATGGCAGAAACCTACGGGTGCCCAACTAAAAATTCTGCCAAATAGACGTCCAAACTAGGCTTTCAGGCCTACTCTTGAACATGAGCGTGCCATACGCCAAAAAAAAAAAAAATTGTAAACTTATTTTGAACTACAATCAAAAACTTATAAATGTATTATCTATTAATGTTTAGCAACAGTTATATGTTGGTGAGAAACAAGAGTTAAGAATGAGTAAGTATGCTGCAAATTGCAATACTATATTTCAAGTTTAGTAAACAGTTAGATTTATTATACTGTACGTCAGTAATGGCATTGTTGATCTAAAGATTTGCTATTCTATTTAAGAGACTTGTGGTAATTCTAGCTTTTTTTTTTTAATATTGAAACATTCTTTTTACTTTAAATTATTGAGCTGATTTTTTACTTAGATATTTAGATAATAATTGATAATATACTCCTTATTATATTTAAAAATTCCAATAATCAGAATTTTAATGAATAGATTATTATGAGAATTCCATACTGATTATTTTTAGAGAAAAATAGATGTACATGCGTTTTATGTATTGGTATAAGTTTTACTTTGATAATTTTGGCAACACATTTGTTGTTTATCCAGTATTCTTAATGAATTATTAGATTAATATTGATGTAAATTTATATTTGTTATGAGCCATTTGCATATATTCAAATTTAGTAGAAACATGTACTCAGTGTTGGATGAACGTTCTAACACATTTACAAGTATAGAAAACGAGGGGCTACAAGTTCCTAAAAACTATGGTTCTAGTTACGCCAAGAACGATGGTAGAATTATAATTTATTCCTAGAACTTGGTATTGAGCATTTTAAATATCCTGATTTTCTGTTTTTTCACATATGCGTGAAATTTTAATTTTTAACTTTATATAACTAATAGTATCTACCTATGTCTGTTGGCTTTATTCATCAAGTTCAAGGACCTTTATATTTCTCAGTCGATGAACTGCCCCTAAACCTCACAGAAATGGGTATAGCTCACCTTTGAGAGGGATTGTTTTACTCTCATCTACAATATAACAAATTTGCCTTCAACAGAATTAATTTTAAGCTCCTAGTTTTAATAATAGAGTCTATTACGTAGCATTTTATCGATAATTTATTTTTTAAATGAATTATAGAATTATAACTATGTAAAATATTGGAACTCTTAAATGAAAAAAATTAATAAAAGCCTATGTGATGTCTAAGATTATATATAATCTGTATCATACCTTTAGACTAAGTTTCATAATAAGTAAATTGAATATAACATTAAAGCTAATAGACAATAGTATAAAATGGCTTTTACTGAATGCAAATTTGCAACGTGTACATGTTACATATTAATTATTAATATTAAACACATATAAGATAAACCGTTACAGACTTAATTGATTTGTACTATTTGTAGGCTGTAGCTATACTCCGTAGACCTTATGCTAAATAACAGATATCATAATAGTTTATTTCTATAATATATTCTGTAAATTAACGTTATCTAAATTTGTGTTTATCAGTAGAATTGTTCTGTGGTAATAACAATTAAAAATATTATTATCTCCGGACCACAGATTCATAGTGATGAAGAATATTCTTATCTATGTAACTTAGTTCTTTAGATTCGTATGTTATCGAAATATCGAATATTGTAGTCGTTGAATGCATATTGCAGAATGAGTATTCTAAAACGGTGATGACTAATGAGTAATCTGTTTATTCTATAAGCATTAGTCTTATTAATATCATTGAATAGATGTTAATACCATAATATTCATCAACTTTAAAATTGGGAAAAGTTGTAAGTAGTAAGTCGCGTCTTGTCATCTTGACAGTTGACACTTGAGTTAATCATTCAGCACTAGTAACGATCATATTCTTATTCTACGGTACCGATGTTAATTGTGTGCATGTCAAATCAACTATAAGAGTGAAATTTGTATACAACTCGGAACTGTTTACGAAATTGTACTTTTACTCGCCAGTAAGTTTATGTATAGTGTTTCACAATATCTTAGTTGAAATAATGTCATTAGACAAAATAACTTCATAATGTCCAATTTAAAACTGGAACTTGATGAGTATCTTAACAAAAGTCAAAAAAATAAAACCCATAATGGGCGCCATGTTCATATTCCCAAAGTATTTAAGAAACTTCTCAACAGCGAATCGGGAGAACAAACAGAAAACCTGTTGGAGTCAACACAGACAACATATTTTAATTTTCCACAAATGGTAAGACTTAATATATTCAATTTTATTGGTTTTAAATTATATTTAAATTTTAATGATTGTCTTCCTGAATATTTACATTTACTGTAATTTGATTTTACAGAGTAAAACCCAAAGAATATTGGGATTTATAGTTTGTGTGTCCATCAGTTGTTTGATGTTCTCTTTGTCAGCATTATATTTGCCTGTGCTTCTGATAAAAGCTAGGAAGTTTGCAATTTTATATGCTTTTGGAAGCATTTTTGCTTTTGCCAGGTAATCTATGACGCTTATTGTTTTTCAATAACAAGTTTTTTTAATATTTTTAGATGTCCTTAATAATATCTATTATTTTTTTATTAATTAATTTGTCATAGGAATTTACAATTAATATTAACTTTTTAGTTAATTACATCTCATTAAAAGTTGATTTGTATAATCTAATAATGCAATTAGTCTAGAGCAAGGATTTTTAACCTTTTTTATGGTGAATTGTATTGAGATAGGTACATTTTGAGATCACAACATTTTTTGGAATATTGTTGAAAATTGATGAGATTGTAAAGAAAGATAAATTGTTTTATTACAGTATGATCAATTTATTATTTTATTTCATAATTTTATAAAGGAAAAAAATTAATTTTTTTTAATTATCCTGATTTTTGACTGATATTTTCTCATAGTAACAACTCAGATTTCATATAACTGAGGTATAGCTTTAAGTTCAAGATCAAAACTTTACTCAGATTAGTGGGGATTAGTTCAAAAATATTAATGAGTCAGGAAAAATAGAGTCTATAGTACAAACAAATAAAATCATAAATAGTCAATAACTTTTAATAATATTTTGAACTAAATTATTTTAAAATTTTTTAGAATAGGAAAATTTCTTGAAAAATTATTTTTATTAAAACCAATCTGTATTTTTAGACTGGAACTTTTAACATTTTTAAATTTTTTATATGAAATCTAAATGTGCACATAGTATTTTTGTGTAATTAAAAGCACATGTCGATAACTTACATTAAATAAATTCATAAATATTTAATTTTTTTTTTAAATTTAGTGTGTCATTTTTGACGGGTCCATTGAATCATTACAAGTATGTGACGTCTAAAGAAAAGCTTCCTTTCATGTTTGGCTACATTACAACTCTTTTAAGTACTTTGTATTTTTCATTGTGGATGAAGAGTACTCCATTTACTTTACTATCATTGACTGTTCATCTGATACTAATTTTTTGGTTTTTATTAAACTCCATACCATTTGGTCAAAAAGGTTTATCATTTTTTGGACGTTTATGTTCATCTATGGTGAAAAATAAAGTGTCAAATTCATTACCTGTTTAAAAATATTCTACCTATTATTATTTATTGTTATTATTGTGATTTTATTTGTATTGATATGTTGTTTTTTTTTTGATAAAATTGTTTTTGTATAATTACCAAATTATATTCATTTTTTTTTTTATGAAAAAAAATTTTATTTTTAATAAATTATTAAATTATTATTATTTGTTAGGTTTGTAAAGTCTATATTTTGTTATTTACGTATATCTGTAAAAAAAAAAAAAAAAACATTAAACATTTATATTATAAATATACAAATTAGTACACAAGTATAAGTGTGAAATTTACTGAAAAAGTAATGTGGCATAGATCATCATCAAAATTCTTATTTATAATAAGAGTCAAGCTCCATCCTCCCAATCACAAGATACTAACACCAAATTGTTGAGAGAAACATACTAATTCAATAATTAGATTATGTATACAAATAGATAAATAGAAATATATGATATTTTTATAAACAAAAATGTTTAATGAAAATATTACTTATTAGCGTGATGAACAATCATAAATACAAAATTTTCATTTTGGATTTATGTCTGGTTCTAATGCTATTTTTTTTAAAAAAATGAGTAATTACTAAATAAATGTAATATAAAAGTTAGAAAAATTAAAACAGCAGTGTGCCAGTGTATATGTTTGGGTAAATTTTTTTTTCAATTCACTACACATGCATTGTATTAAGAACATTTATCCATGCAACAAATTTTGTTAGTCAGAAAAATTATTATTTTTTAATTTTTTGTAATGAAACATTAATTTTAACTTCAATTTTGGGCTTCTTAGATTCATTAAAATCATTAGAATATTTAATTGCTAAAACGGGTAATAGTTAAATATTTTACATTCTTAGTGATGAAGTAAATGAATTTGTTTAACAGTATATTTTATTTTTCTATTTTAAAACTGATTTGTGAAGAAGTTTTGGAGCAGTAAAAATGCTTAAATCTTTTATTTTATCAATTATTCCTGGTAGCAAATTGGAGTTATTTGGCACTTTGTGAGATTAAAATCAGATAGTTCCTAAACTTCTAAATACATTTTAAAAATATAAAGAGAATTTTGATAAAATCGATTAAGTTTTTGTTTGTATTCACTTTTTCTATGCATGATAAAATTTTAAAAATGTGTAGTTTTGCTGTTCTTAAGTTACTTATTAAACATTTAAAACTAATATAGACTCTTTTTAAACTTATGTTTGTTAAACGAAACGCTTGAAAATTTAACACAAAGTTCTTTTAGGTTTTTCTTGCACTAATTAAAAAATATCAACAACAGGTACCTACTTATTACATATTATGGTAACATAATATAGGTACATATTATGAACTTTTTTTTTTAATAGACATTTTTAGTTAAATTTGTGATAGTGATTAGTGATATAATTGGATATTAAACGATAAATACTGTTTTTCCCCTGATAACAATTTTAACTATTTTTCTGTAATTAAAAAAAATATTATTTGAACTTTGAAGGGACATTTTGTTATTACATATAGATATATTATTTTAAAGTCTGAGCGGAACGATGAATCTAATGATTTTACAATGATTTTTTGTGGCGAGTTTATAACCTATTCGATAAGTTGTCGATGAAATGTTTTGAATTTTCGACAAAATCTATTTATTTTTTTTTTTTTTGGTGTTGGTAACGAATTACAAGATAACTTAATTTTTTAACGAATATTTATGTTATCATTTTCTATTTACGAGATAAAATTTTTAAAATTGTAAATATTTTTACATTACACTAAATCTTATATTGTCTCGCATTTTTTTTTGGATTTGTTGCATTATATTTAATAATCATTTTAGCATGAAAATTGCAGTAAAATTTATTGTTATAGTTTTGGATTAAAATAGATTTTATTTTATTTAATATTGATTAAAAATTAAAATGTTATTTCAAATTCAAACATACTAACACATAAAGACATGTTGTATTGATATTTCTGAATTGTTTTGATATTATTAGAAAAATCTTTTGTAATACACTATGGGGGCAGTGTCTACAATAATTTAGACACCTATTAGAAGAATAAAATTATTGAAAATTGTAGTATCTCTAGAGTTGATTTGATTAAAACTAATAATATTTTCACGATTCGAGTTTTACAAAAATTATTTTAATTGTTGATAGACGGCAGTTATTTTGTACATTTCCTTCAAAAACAATGTGAATATTGTATTCTGTGGTGACAATCTCTATACCTAAGTGTACGGCGACTGAATAGTAAATCATGTGGTGGTTGGATTGGTGTCACATAAACCATGTACATAATAATAATAAATAATACAAACGTATTAAATACAAAAACATTAAAACACATCAGTCGCGATTACGCCTGTACAATAGTCACATAGTATTGACGAAAATGATTAAAGTTTAATGTTAAATAATTTTTATAGTGATTTTTTGTAATTTGGCGCCACTGATTTTACTCATTGTAATATTATTACTATTTTCAATTCTCACAAAATATAAATTACACTTTTGTGGCTTGGCGTGGCGCGTTGGCTGCTACCAGTCGCGGAATGCGACTGAGAGTAAGTAACGGCCACAGCTACTAGCTCCCGGATGGGTGACCACTCAGGATCATAGTGGTTAAAAAACCTTGCCACACATACACGTGTTTGCTATCAACCGTAACAATCATAAAAATACAACCTACCGTACCAACCTACAACGTAACCCTTACAAACAGCTAATGGCCCTAGTTGCCGGGCTTAAGTTCAATAAAAAAAAAAAAAAAAAAAAAAAATTACACTTTTCTACTTTTTATAAGATAATTATTAGTTATTTCCTTGTATTATATTATGTAGGTATATTATACTCCAGCGTCCTTGCACTTTTGATCATTCATCTATGATTTAAGTTGTAACTGTAATCTGTAACTGCAGCCAGCTCTAGTTTCTATAACTACAGTGCAACGATAGGTATACGCCATTGTATCTATTTATCTATAATACTACATTAATTATATATTTTGATATTTAGTTTTTTTTTTTTTTTTAATTGCTATTTAAACTTTATTTATTTATAGGGGTCGTAATATTGTAAATAATCGTGCGAATATTATACTGTTCATTAATTGTTACATCAGAAATGTTTTTAACAATAATTGCTGATGCAATCGCACAGGTGTTCGAAGCTCATAGATCATTTCATTGGTAAACAATTAAAATTATGTTCAGTGTTATTATAATTTTTAGCCTGTATGATTGTATGTTGCATGACTTATGCATTTATGACTAACTGTTTAAATTGTTTAACGGATTTAATTATCGCTATTTCAAGTTAGGTATTGTGTCATTAGTCAAATTATGTGTATTTTATTATATTTCATAATAATGACTGTGTTACTGATTTATTTGACCGTTGTTACCCATAACATGATAATGTATACTATGTAGGTTGTAGGACACTAGGACACTGTACGACCACAGGTAGAAATTTTATATAATTCATTACTACACATAAAATATAAATAGATCGGTATAGATGATCCTTAACTATTATTGTAGATTTTTAACAGAAATAAACAATATCATTAAACGATATAAAAACTCTATGAAAAAATACTAGGTATGAATAATAATAATAAAAAAAATAGCTGATATCTAATTGGTTCCCGAGCCCCTACCTTACATGCCAAAATGGTTCCCATTTAAAAAAGGTAAAGTTATACGCAAGGAAATAGCTGCAACTCTGCAAGTTTCAACTAGTAAATAATAGTGAATCACTACTTCAAAATTATATTAATAGAGTGTGTAAAAATTTGGATGCTAAATAAAGAATAATTCCTAAGTTTCTTATTAATCTTAAAAACTTCACAAAAGTTTCAGCGAATATTTATTGGTAACTAATCTTGGAGAAAATTTTATTTATGACAACGATTCTACCAAAACTGTTGCGAATCATTCAAAACTAAATAAAGAATTTACCAGCGCCCGTCCTCATATAATATTTTATTTTATAGAGACTTTGAACAGTGTTCAAACATTAAATTATATTAAATATTGCTGTAGTAATAATAGGAACTTACCAACAAACAAGAAAAAACAACCAATATTTGGAAAAAAGTATTCTATGATTGGCTACATTAATGAGAACTTTCATGATTGAAATATTTGGAAAAAAGTTTGTTTCAAATTTGCAAGGTTAGTTTAACTTAACTTACAACACAACTATCTAAAATTTAAAATTTAAATTGTATATACCTACCTAAGAGATTAATGGTTGACTTTTACTTCGACGATCGCTAGTACATATTTTTAACCATATCTACTTTTAAGTTGACAGTCTTAATAGCCTGTAAAATTAGGAAAGGAAATTTAATTTTAACTAAAAAGCGAGGAGTAACTCGATCAGTAGTGGGATTATTATACATTTAAACGAAAATTAACTCAGCTTATATTAATAAGATACCAAGTAGGTATCTATTTGTCAGTGGCGAATCTAATGGTGGGGGAAGGGGACGCCTTCCAAAATTAAATAAAAAAGATATTATTGGGTCAAGTTTTTTGCTTTTTTATCTGATGACCAATTTTTTGCTGTCTATGCGCAACCCCCCATGGACAATTTTTGAATTTGCCCTTGGTATCCATAGTGGACGAGTAGATATCTTATCTTTGATAAGTTGATTTGTTTGAAAATTAAATATAAATATTATATAAGTCTAATAAAAATTAATTTATATACGGATTCACCACAGAAGGATTGTCCTAACCGCATCTGATATCACGTCAAGATCTTGCAAAGGCCAAAAATGTACCTATGAAAACTATAATTTATATGTAAGTTGCTGTAAAAGTCTAAAATATTGTATAGGTATCCACGGAATTAGTATACCAAACCTATAAGAATCCTATCGTAAAGCCTCTACATAATAAACAACCACAACGTCACTGCAATGTTATCGCTACAGTTATATAGTATACATTATAAATTGATCAATGACTTCCGGTGATCAACAACAGGTAATATAATCAAAATAATAATAATTAAAATATTACTAAACTATTTATTTGACATTTTAAATAAATTGACTCAAAAAATGTACCTATAGGAAGTATTGAACGTATTTAAATTACCAACATTTGTCGAACTTCAGTCTCCAGTGTTATTTTGTTTATCTTCCTGTCACACGCATTAATAGTTAAAATTATGCTAATCAGTGACATCAAATTTTTAGAAATAAACTTGGGTCAAATGAAAATACAACGACCTCGAGCCTCTCATACGGCCATATTTAATTAAGTCTACGTTTGTGAAAGTTTAGTATGTTTAACATCCAAAGGAAATATTTTTATCGGTATGCGATTAAATTGATACGCAATGCATTAATATTTATTGCACGTAATTTAATGTGAGTATCTAACGTAAGTAGGTAAAGTACTCATTTACAACTTATGCAGTTATATACCCATACACATTGTCTCAAGTCCGAGCTATATAAATAAATATGTTAATTTTTTTTTTATTTCGTTAAGTTATCATACGTATTTTTGTACGAATTGCAAATCATAACTGTTAACGCTGTTCATTAAGCTTTGAACTCCATCTGCATTTTTTTTTTAAACTAACAGGCCATGACTTAAACATTAAATAGTGCTTAGTGTCATTATGATGTCAACATTTTAACACCAATAGTAGTATGGTGACAGTGTTTTTTAGATTGTCAACAGTTAGGTACACGAAGATTACGAATTCTTGAATACGATTTATTGACACATATGATTACTGGATTTTTATAGACTAGTGTCGAAATTTCATCACACTTTAGTAGGTATATACTATATACAGTATACACACTACACTTTATGCACTCATGAATGGCGACGCAGAGACGGTTTGATTGAAAATCGAACGGCGCAAAGAAATAGACCGACCGGCGACGACTTCATTTTCCTCATAATACTGATCAGCCAATCAAATGGTATGATTATATAAATAATAATAAATGATGTATAATATTATTAATTTAGGATAATATTTTTCATGCAATAGCCTTAATTATTAATTTTCACTGTCTTATACCTACTAAATAAAACTAAACAACACGATAAATTATACGTTCAGAAGAATTAATTTTTTTCTGATATTTTTAAATTTAGAGTGAATTTAAGACAAAATTTTAATGTATGATTATTATCTAGGGCCCAGCGTATAGGTTTTTATCATATTTTAAATGAACCAATTTAACATTCTAGTATTTCAAAATTGTGAATTTTTGAAAATTCAATAACCACGGTTCGTAACTGTATATTATAGGTATACAGTTTACTCTCGAGCTGGTAATCATTATAATATTCACCGTTTCGTTCTCATACAAACCGTCTGCGAGTATGGATATTGTGGTCAGTCTAATGTTCACAGGCATGTCTTTCATCATGATGCGAGGTGTGTCTCATAGGGTTTCCATGTACAGCACATATTATAATCAATTATTAACAGTAAACTAACATAATATAATATATTATGTGCATCACGACAATTGCCATCCTTAATTGTAAATTATGATGATGGTGTAATTTTATGTTATAAACTTTTTTATTTTAATTCCAGTTAGATTAATTTATGAAAAATCCAGAGTACAATTTACAAACTTTAGATATTAAAATCAGACTTCTATGAATTTTGATAATATAAACGGACTTGAATATATCTACGTTATTTTAATATTATTATTTATTATTTCTAAATTAGTGCTATATTCAGTAGAATCGTTTTCCAACTTTTGCTCTGTCCATTAAAAAATTATAAGATTTAAGAAGCTTCATTTTCTCCGTTAACTTTACGTAATGGACTTCCAATATCAGTAGTTAAAAGTCATAGCTCAATTATAGTTCTATTCAACACTATCAATTTATGAATGAATGCCGTGTTTCCTCGCTATTACAAGTTATTGATTTTTCCATATTTTACAACGGCTGCTTCGATAATAGCACTAAAATCCAATATAGCAATAACATTTTGTGTTATTTAATTGTACTGTTTGAAAAATTTGTATTGAATTTCATTACGAGATAGTGGAGTTTTAGTATTTTGTTTCAGCAGGTTTGATGCTAAACGTCTAACCAAAATTTGTTGGTGTTGTTTTGTTGAATTAGTAGTTTGAATTTGTATTATTTAATAAGTATTTCAAAAGTAGTACTTTACTTAGGTATAAATTATGTACAATAAATACGAATATATTATAATGTTAAATATTTATACTACTCACTCACACATTAGATAATAATTAATAGATAGATGGTAGGTAAGTTATACGTATATGTTTCATAGTTTGTATTTATGGATTTATTATATACCTAATTTTAATAATAAATTTAAAATAATTTGTGAATAATTTTAAAATGAAAAACCTTGGAAAATTCATGGTCTATTATAGAAGTTTGTGTGCCTTTAAACAGCTCTGTAGTAATATAATACCATTATATATTTTTAAATATTTTTATTTTCATTATCAAAAATGTTAACTGCAATTAATTTTAGTAAAAAAAAATTGTATATATGAGTAACATTAAGTGTCATTGATACATGGAAGAATCCAGTGATTGGCATCATGGTAAAAATAAGTTCCTAAGTACACGATAGATAAAAGTATAGACGATTGTAGTTAAAATAAAATTTTAATTTATAATTTAAAAAAAAAAAAGATATTACAATAATTGTAGGCATAGACTTTTTTTTAAAAAAAAAAATAATAATTGACTAGTATACGTAATTATGTATAAATAACAAAACGTAAAAATAAAAATAGGATATGATATAATAATATTATAATAGTGGATGGGCATACTGGCAGGGTGTAGTAACCTTAGATTATACCGCTTTGTGACCGCGACTGCAGTGGTCGACGCTGGCAATCAGGTAGTCAAGTTGACGATTGATACATAAAACACTACCTAACTAGCGTATATAATACATAATAATTATTGTAGCATATAATATGCGTTATCGACAACGTATCGACGTTAATATTTTATTAATTTAACAATCGATGGTTTTTTACAGCGATACGCAAGTGAATTTTTACGGAATGTGTATACAATATTATAAAATTTACTTAGTATATTATAGTTTATAACATATATATATATATTATTAAAATGTACGACAATAAATATTATATCAATATAATATATAATAATATGCATCCGTACACCACGTTTATTGCAAATGTTACAAAATGTCGTGTTTCAGCGTGCGTGCAGTACAATATTATTTATAAATACATAACAATATACAACACATAATAATATATTGTATAATATTTATTGTGTACATTAGAAGTCTTATTTTTATAGGTCAACGCATGTACAGTACGCAAGCGCTGTGTACTCGTCGTAATAACAATATAATATATTACAGCCTTATATTTACGCGACAAGTGCTGGCCATGTGTTTTAACATGTGGATCACGAGAGTCTGGCTTATGTGATCATCTTCGAGGGTGAAAAAAGGTGCGTTGTGCGTATTGGAGCGACGCTTGCCATGTCCAAGAGGGGTAGAAGTGATCTGTCATCGCTGCTTTGGAATTACTTTCAAATTTCGCTCCAACGCGATCGTATTATGTATAACGATGTAAAGTATTTAAATTATATACGTTTTATCTCTCTGTTTCTCTTTTTCATTCAGCAGTCTTCTCGTCGCGTGCTTTTGACTAGAAGTTGCGTTTATTTTACAACTCTTATCGTCAACGCTTTCGAACTCAAAACGATTTATTCCGCGCTTCATGACTCGACGATGAGTGTGCATCAACAATAAACGCGCAGAGACGAGCGGCCGAAAATGCAGGTTACAAGGTTTTAGGTAAAAATAACATTTCCCAAACGAAAATATAAAAATACAATATCTTTGAAAATTATACAAACACTGCAGGTACTAATCGAAATCTTCTTGTTTTTTAGTTTTTGTTTTGTTTTGACAGTAGACTGAATGGTATTACACGTACGATAAACTCAGCGACCGTTTCGAATTTCATCTCAATCGACCACGATAAAAAAATATAATATTGATATTTATTATTTATTATAATATGGGAAAATAAATTGATCCGCGTTTATGCGGCATCATTGACCTCGTCGTTGTTACACAGTATAGTTATTATTACCGATCGTCTTTTCGCTTTCTCGCCTTGCCCTCCATGTGTATGATTCCGGTGACGTTATCCACGCACTCGGCCACCGACGGATTGTCACGCTCCGCGCTGTAGTCCATGTCCAGTAGTCGGGACAGCGTTAGTATGTAAGCGCTGGCGATCCGGATCGTCGACAGTTTGGAAAGCTTCTGGTTCCGGGAGTACGAGGGTATGGTTGCTCGGAGCGTGTCGAATGCCGCGCTGATGGTGTGCACCCGAGACCGTTCCCGGGCGTTGGCCTCTATCCTCCGAGCCCGCGACATGTTTTTGCTGTACCTGGTCGTGGTCGCGGTGGTGGTCGATGCGCCGGTGGCCGCGGCGGTTTCCGCGACTGCGCTGCACGGGAACGACGCCACAGTCGACGGCGCGGCGTATCTGCAGGTCCCGTTGTCGGCATCGGCTGTGGTTGTGTTCACGACGGTCCCAGCGGCGGAGTCCACCGGTCTCGTCCCGCCGCGTTGGCCTTTGGTCAGGTCCAAGGGTTGAGGTTCCGCCGGGGGCGGCAACGGGGACTGTTGTTCGCCGCGGCGCTGTTGCGTCAGCGTCAGTATCCTGTCCACGTTGCGTATGTCGTGGAACAGCCGGAGGCCCACTTCTGACGACGACTCTTCGTTGCAGCTCCACGGCCTGAACGGCGGACAGGCGTCCATGTTGATCGACCGCAGCACGGTGGCCGCGGCAGCGTCGGCCGTCCTGCTGAACTTGGCTGCGGTCGGACACCCGTCCCCGTCATCGGAATCGTCCATCCGTTTTCGTTTGAACGTCCCGTGGCCGTCGCGACCATCGGCCACTGCCGACACGTCCACGCCCGAGTCCTCGCTCTGGTCGGTGGTCGGCGTATGCGCTTCCCGTTTGATTGTCACGGTGGTCATCATCTCTGCGCCGCACGAAGACGACGACGTGTCGTCCGCGTGATGTTTTCCCGCGTCTGTGAAACGTTAAAAATACGACATTATACACTAATACAAATTAAAAGTCTAATAATATTGCTAATATAATAATCACATTGCTTATATTCAGAGGGTTCGGCAAGTCTGGAAACGGTCATTAGACTAATTGGGACTGACAAACGATGGTTATGACGTAATTAACGGGGTTATTAAATATTTTACATTGTAAATGTAAAAAGTGTTATCCAACTAGGTATTAAAATATGCGTTCGCGGTAATTAAGAGTTTCTAAACTTACTGAACACCTGGTATAAGTTGTCAGCTGATAGATACTATCTTTTTATTATTTATTTCACGTGCCCCTGTCACCAGACGTTTTTATTTTACGATTTTTCATTATTTTCACTAATATTTTTTTTTTTTTTTTGTGTGCATATAGTTAGGTACCTAAAAACAGAAGTCGAATTTTTTTTTGAGTCATTGTAACACCTCCCCTCTTTTAATAACTCACTTTAAATTACTATAAATCAGTTTAGACCGTTGAGATAGAAAATAAGTTTATTCATAAAAGTTCTACGAATTGGGCTATTTTAATTTAGTACTAAAAATGTATTACTGTTTAAAAATATGTAAATGCACACAGGGGTAAACATACATATCGTAAATACATAAATAATATCGTAATCTGTTTTCTCTATCAGTCATCCCTGGAGAAATTCCGGTGGGTGTTAGGTAAGTGTATAGGTATTAGCCCCGATTTCAAATCTCATTTATATGTTATAAATTATGGTTTTGTTTTCCACCACTGCAACAGCCACACTTGGGTGAATATAAGGTATAACGATTGGCTTAATTTTGTTTCATTCGTGGCTGCTGCAGGTGTCTCGAAACATATTAATTCACGGGTTGCGTTAAATTTTGAATAATAATGTGTATAAATATTATTAAATAGTGGTTTTGTTTTATTTTAATTTTGATATAGTTTGTAATATGTTATGTGTATATTTATAAATTAAAACAATTCTTGTTGATAAAATACATAATAAACGTAATGCAGAGCCACAGCTGGTTTGCATCAGTCATTTTGTTTTCGCAAAATATATTGAATTATTAACTTTAAACCTATATATACTTCGGTAATTTTATGAGTGACTATACGAATTGATACATAAATTTGGTTGATAGCTATATTGAAAGTGGCTAATACTAATAATACTAACAATAATATTCTTCCAATTTTATACGTATATTTACAGTTTTCTGTATGTCTACGTTTTATTGCTGTGAAGGTATGCAAAATATCAATATGTTATGTAGGTATGTTGCTTCCGTCTTTATGTTAAATAAAATATGAACAAAATAAATATTTGTATTGAAAATGAACAATGAATTAAAATATTTATCTTAATATGGCTTTTTATTAACAAACAATATTGTTGTTATAATCAAAGTCACATAATTTACAATAATCTTTTTTTTTTTAATTATTTTAAAAATATAAGAGATTTACAATACATAACGTAATAAATAAATTGATTAAGGATTATAAAAGGTGATTTATTGATGCTACTTCAAATGCAATAATCTTATAAGTTACAATTATTTTTATGAAGAATTAAAATTTTAATATTTAGATGTTATTTTATGGATGATATGAAAAAAATGTTTTCCTTGCATTAAATGTTTTATTTAAACATAAATAAATTCCCAACTGGTTTCGCCATCTCAGTACGTATAATACTTATTTTTCTAATAAAGTATTAAAATATTATTTATATATTATATAATATATTCACAGCTTACATAGTAAGTATCAGTCGTATACTTTGGTTAACTTTGTTAATTGGCATAAATCTACAGCTGTGTTTGATAATTAGATTGGTGATACAATCATTTCATATAGTTTGTCTGAAATCCACAAAATCAGCCACCGAAATTACATAAAGTTTTATAATCGTATTTTTTAAGCAAATAAGCATAACTGAAAAAGGTTGCTAATAAAATTATTAATATTGGTATTTAATGGTATCTAATATCTCTATATATACTTTTTGTTCAAATGACTTGAAAACTAATTAGTATAGACTAAAATTATTAATAATTTGAATTTTAATGCCAAGTTCTTCGATTATAATCGTGTTTATTAAGTACTATTTAAGACTAACTGATTTCATAACAATTTTGTTTGTGTTTTGATTAAATAAGTCATGTAGTAATAATATCGTAACTTATAATAATATGATAGATCAGTGGTGTATTTTTATAAGTGGGTCCAAAACACAAATATATATTATGAACCTAAGAAATTTTTAAATACGTTTCTATAAATATATAAATTTATTGTTTGTAAGCACTTGATTATTTTAATTTAATTAAACATTTAGAATATTTTATTTTTTAATAGTTTATCATCATGTATGTTTTCACACAAAATAAAAATTTCATTGTATTGAATAATTTAAACATCAAGATTATATAGGTAAGTTAAATTAGTATATAAATATATCTATTAGTTTATAAATAAAATAAATGTAAAAATACTAAAAATAGTTACTCAACGTTTATATATATAAAAAAAAAAATGTCTTTGGCTTTTTGTTCATCAATTATTTTACGTAACTTAAGCATATGTTAACATTTTAAAATTTGACCAGTGTCAGTTGTTTGATGTAATTTATTTATACAGCTATAATTTTTTCATATTATTTTAACATGAAAAGTTAACAGAAATGTCGACCCTTCATTATTAATTAAGTTTTATTTAAGTACTTTAAAACTCAAGTATACAGTAATACCTATTTCCACACTATACGTAGTAAATATAGAATTAAATTACGTACACTGTTCGTGTTATCGTATGTTTCCACGATATAATAATTGAATATGTAAAATATTTTATACTTAATAATATACGTAGTTATATAGCTATAAGTCTGTATTATCATCTTGACCGCAGTTTTTCTAGTGTAGACCTACGCTCTTTATCACTCCGTATTCGACAATGTATGCAAATTTAACACAACATAGTATTTTTAATGTAACATAAACAATGTTAGAATTATTTAACTTTTTTCTACAACAATAGGATTTATTGTATTAAATGAAGATTCATTCATAAAAATTATTCCGTAGGTGTTAGCTTATATTACTCTATAAATCCCTGCGTGGGCGTTTTGGATTTTTTTTAGATTTAGGTGTGGTTTAAATCTAATGTTCTATATTAGATGTAGATACGTGAATGACAAATTTTAGTGATAAGTCATCCAATGAGTTTTATGATGTACGCTAGATTGACTGAAAATCATTGTCTACATTATAATATAGTATTTCAGGTATCCCACGGTAATTGATTGACGATAGTAGTTAGGTGGTGTTTATTACATTTAAATATTACTTTATTGTGTACATATATTATTAAACTTTGAAATGAACAAAAATTCCGTTTTAAAAATTACGCTTAAAAATAAAAGCAAAACGTGATTTAATTAATAATCTGCAGTAGATGTGCGATTTAAAGTAAAAATTGTGTGAAAATAAAATTGCTATCATATAACGTTTCTTAAACCTAAAATGAAGATAATTATCAACGGTTAATTACTGGTATTATGTTTGCAAGTAAATTTGAAAAAAAAAAAAAAATAAAAACATTCAATTCGTTATTAACTGTTATTAGGAACTAGAGTGTATTGTGTAACATAAAATGTACATAGTTAATAACATATTAGTGCCGAACGGTCAAATATAATAATATATATTCGGATATTGGCCCGTGGCCGGTGTCTCTATTATTGACAATCAACATTAATAAACATAATCGTTTACAACTTACATAAATGAAACAATTCTGCTGCGTTTCCTTGCATTCTTAACGTGTCTTTGCAAATGTCTGTAGTCAGTCTATTCTGCAAAAGCCCTTCCAATGCTACGCGCGAAGTCACCATTATGTAAACGCGTATTGCGATAAAGCCAAGCGCGTTGGTACGGCGTCGGTGCACAGATCTATCGATCGACTGATTTCTGATAAAACGCTTTCGTCGTCGGCACACTCGCACGCTCGGAGGACAACGCGAATGAAACACTCGATTCAAGAAAAACCGTCCGCTCTTGTCGGACAACCGTCAACCGAACGCGACGTCTTCTAGACCAGTACTGGTGGCTGGTCAGCAGCGCGCGGTACTGCGGTATAGTGTCTTCGGGTCTCCGCCGCATTTGTTCGGTTTGAACATGTGGTCCCCGTACCGTCCCGCGCGCGCACACCGCGGAGCATTACTATACGGCGCGCACACACAATATATTATTATTATTATTATTATTATATATTATTATAAAATACACGCGCACACACGTTACTGCAAACACTGAAGTACACTCAAACATACACAAACCACACAATATATTATAATACATCGATATAAACAAAATGGTACACACAAACGTGTGTGTTACACAAAAACATGTGTGTATACAATATTTTGATATCAGTTTATCAACACTAATGTTGTCTCATTGTCTGTGTACATCGATTGACACAAAATGTTACGAACTACACGAACGTGTAATATATCTGCAGTGGCGCGAATAGGCCTTTTTTTTTTTTTCTTTTTTTTTCTAGAGAGTACCGCAACCCTCCCTAGAAATTACAGTCGGTTTACGTCGTATAAAACCGTCGATAAAGGACTACAAATTGTATTTATAGGCACTCGTTAGAAATTTTGTGATCCGTTGACGATAGACGACGTAAATATAGTTATTATTGTGTATTGAATTAGATACGGGGAATTATTATTACTTTTTCAGTAACTTCTATTTTGCTATTTTTCACTATGTTTTGGACAGCGTAGAAAAACGATCATAAGAATGTACTTATAATAGGTATAAGGTTATAATATAACTTGTTTGGTGGTTTATGTAGGTAAAGTAAATTTGAATTTTTATATACCTACATTCCTAAATGAATTCTAATATTTTATTATTACGTTTCTGTAAACATAATTTAATGTCACATACATTTTAATTGCGGTCATTGCAGTAATTATTACAAGTATTATAACTTATCAATATCTCGCTTTTATTAATAAAGTTTATATTAAAATTAAAACAACTATCATTTTAGCCTTTAAATATCTTTGTTTATCATGAAATAATTACCTATTAGCTTCTGTAGCATAGGATGGTTTTTGAAAGTTCTCTTTAAAAATTAGTATTAACAGTAGCCACTAGGTGCTAAATTATATGCTATCTAATATCTATATTGTAATCCACCCTGAAATTATTTTATATGTACGCCACTGGTACTCATACACAGTATTACCTATATTATTTTGTTATGCCCCGTTAGTTATCCCTATTTTTATTACCACGAAGACCTCGACTACAACTCTTTTAAAATTAATCCGACCAGGCGTGGCGTCTCATTAATGTATTATTATTGCCACCATCGTTTACTAGTCTTTGTTTAATTTTTTACGTTAATTAGAGAAACCTATTACCTTAGTACACTTTAATATATAATTATGTATTTTATTGTAGAATATTAGCTATCAAAGTACAAAAAAGCAAAAGAAAACGTTCGGTTGGAAAAAAAAGTAGAATGTTTACAAAAATGGCAATGTTGAAAATTCTTGAAAGTAACATGTTATATCCTGATGTTTAATATGTTTTAACCGAATTATCTTTTTGTGTATATATTATGCGAACAATTAATATTTTACATTTTCGTATAAATAGTATTCTCATACTTTTAACATAATAATTTAGGCAGGTAAAATATTTTTAATTTCTCATTAAAATGTGTATAAAGAGTTAAGAAAACACGAAAATATTTTTTTGTTGTGTAATATACTATTACATAAATGTATAATAAATAGATACATTACTTTAGATAATATGTCACATTGACAATAATCACACAACCATCAATTGGATTCTATATTATGAACTCTTTTAATTAAAGTTTAGAAATTGAATAGGTAATAAATAATAATACATCATATTTTAAAGTTGTATGAGTTTATATATATATTTTTTAAATTAACTTTTAAAATATATTTTCTGTATAGCTATACAGACACTACAGTATCTACAATTTATGTACATAAAATTTAGTACCTATTACTTATGTCTTATATTACCTATATATATATACATAAATATTATTTTGTTTATAATCTATTATTTTTTCTTATAAATCATATTTTATTGATATTTATATCCTTTGGCGGCATTTTAAAATGTTTTAATATTACAAAGGGATCTGTAAAATCTAAAATTCCTATAATTCCAACAATTACATTAAAAAAAAAATGATATTTTACAACAATTTAATAAGTGAAAATCGGAAAAGTCACGTAGCTGTACCTACAGCATAGGTACCTATAGAAGTCAAGTGTATAATTCGTAATTGATTACTGATGTGTTCTTTTAAACCATTGCTGGGCTAGACCACTCAAATTAACACTCAATAAATCAATTTTTAATGCATCAGACCATTTTTTAATTTCTGCTATTCCAACAAAAGTTTTAAGCCAATCAATCTTTTGCTTCGGAGCTGGTTTCGTGACCCGTAAACAACTTGATACTTTTATTCAAGTCAGGCATAACATAGAATGAATTACTTTGTTCGTTATTGTCCTTTGAATTCAAAACTGAAAAATGTTGAATAAGCATGCGATTTTGTTCCATTAGTAATTGAAACATCGCGTTAAAGTCAGGAATACGTAGTGTTTTGCGCTACTCACAGGTGGTGCAATAATTGGAGGTGTTACGATACCTTCTTGGTCAGCATCACCATTAGGCATTAGCAGCGATATAGTGATCATGTGTTTTCACGACTTCGCAATTTGCATCCATTTGGATTGCATCAATCCTACTTCTGAATTTGTAGGTGGCGTTGCTTTTACGCCGACCCATTATTATTAAAAGAATATATAATTAATAATTAATTGTAAAGAACAAAAGTATATTTTACATAATTCGAAAAAAGTAATAAACACAAATATTAAAAAAAGTAAAAAAAAGACAAAAAGTAAATACGTAACTAAAGATGTAATAACAATTAAAAACAACACCACACACACATACGCACTGTGTGTTAACGGAAAAGTGGAAAGTATTTAAATTAAATGATAAATCATTGATTCATTATATATGAAGAAAGTTTTTGAACAAAGATAAACGGAGTCAGTCTATATTCTTAAGGATATATTTTTTGATGTAATAATATTCAGTTATTATTATCAGTATAATTTTTCAAATATTTTGTGTTAATTTCCTATATTTAGCGCAATGATATATTGTTATTTTAAATATGGAGGTACCGTTGTAAATATGTGTCATAGGTTCAATCTCAACTGTAGTTCTATACTGTTGCCAAAAACAAGTACGATTTTAGTATATTTCCCGATATACCTATGTTTATAATCTGTTTGACTATGAGTTGACAAAAAATATATTTTAACAAAGACTTAAATTTTTTTTATACTTGTGTAAGAAGTAAAAAATAAAAAATGTTGACACATTTATAAAAATGACATGTTCTAGCTTTTAGAATAATTTAGTTTATTTTGTTTCAACACGTTGTGAATGTGGAATTCTGTCTTAGAAATAATATTATACAATTTTAAAATTATTTTACCTTTTAAAAATATATTAAGACCCCGTTTTTATGGGAATAAAAAATTAGGTACCTAATTAATAAAAGTATAGATTGTAACTATAATCATAATGTAAACTCAGCAAACTTAAAAATCAGATGTAATTTCTATTTTAAAAAAAATTGTCTTATATGAATATTGATTATTTTACTTGATAAATCAGTTTTGTAACGCTAAAGTACTTTATAATACTAACAAATTAAAAGTATTATTTATCACTATTAAAATGTTAACTATTATATATAAATAGGTACTTATATTTTTTATAATAAATTATTATGTATAAAATTTTGATTGTAATGAAGTATATATTTTATAATACATGCAACTTTTGGTGTAATAACTTATCTGCAGTTTAAATACTCTAAAATGCTAACCCGTAAAATTATAAAAAAAATGCCGTATTAAATTTAAAAAAAAAAATAAGTGAAGCTTTAATTTTGTTAAATTTAAAATTAATAAACTCATGTAAAAAATAAAATACATTATATATTTTATAAGTATAAACTGCAGTTTTTTAATTTAAACAAATTCATGTGTTTATAACTACAACCCTTGTTAAAGTTGTCTTTTTATTGATGCATTATAATAATCTTATAATAACTATAAATATTTGCTATTATATTAGTACTTAAATTATATGTATATATAAATAATGCATCGTCTGCATTGTATTATGACATAAATCTAAAAGGATTAAAAAGATAATATAATATTTGGATTGCCAAAATTATTAAAGTTATACTATGATTAAAATACAATTTAACTATTTAATATATAATTTAGATATTTTTAATTAATTACCTAATTATAGATATACTGAATATAAAACTCGAAATTGTGACGGAGGAAAAAATTATTGGTTGCGTAGTATATAATATATATATATGTATATTTATATTATATTATATATTTACGCACATATAACACGTCTTTTAAAATGTATGCAGCGGAAAGGAAAAAGTATCGTGAGAGGGTCGTTTCCTGTTTTGCGACAGTGCGGGTCATCTCCTGCTGCAGGCGGCATGTGACCAATATAAGGCGTTGCAAAAAAACGTTTAAACGTGTTCGCTCTTTACACAAACACACACACACACACACACACACACATACCGGACATTTGACAAACGGACTCTAATTAAGGACGTGGATATTTATTATCTTGGCGGTTTTTTTTACACTGAAATTACACCGAAACGAAGAGCACGTGGGTCTTGGGGTGGCCCAGATGGTTTCGGGGTCACGTATATCATAATGGACTGCACAAACACGGTCACCCTGAGTATTAATAATAACACGCGTTCATGAATGTATTCTAATATAATTCAAACTCATATGTACATAACATATACTTTAAACAAAAATACACAATACACATTTATGAGTACAATAACGAGGCGTTTATAATTTCTCCTGTACAACATTTAACGAACGCATGTGTTTGGACAGGCATGCGTATGTACACAATGTCTGTGTGACCGGAAAGTGATTACTTATAACCCTTTTTTATCAGAAGGGATGAATTGAGAGGC